AGTACCATCAGATCTTCTAGCAGATGTGGCCACGCTTTACCAATCTGTTCGAGCCAAGATCAACTCTTCTCAAACTTAAGAGGTTTTGAGTACCATTGGAGTGATTCAAGGTTGTACTCTCTCTCCTACTCTATTTGGAGTTTTTATAGATGATATCGAAGAGTGGTTGGAGGCATGTGATAGTGAAGGTGTCAAGCTTGGATACTTTGTTATCAAAGCTCTCTTGTATGCAAATGATATTATATTACTAGCACGTGATGCAATTAGTTTACAGAAACACCTATACACTTTGGCTAGCTTTTGTACCCAGAATCAGATGGAGGTAAATATAGAGAAGTCCAAAGTCATGATAGTGGGCACTAGATCCAAGTTTTACTTCTATTACCAGGATCTACAATTAGAAGAGGTGAAGAGTTATAAATATCTAGGCATTGATTTTTCTAATGATTATAGTTGGGCACTTTGTGTTCAAAAGAGAGTAGAAGGTGGTTACAAAGCTCTATATTCATTGCTAAATCGGTGTAGAAGGGCTCATCTTGTGTCTTGGAGTCTTAGGAAATTTTTATTCAGAAGCTTAGTGTTGCCGGTAGTATTGTATGGAACCCAAGTGTGAAGTCCTGGTTGTAAGAAGACAGGTTGGGAGCGTGTGGAGAGGGTGCAGAAGATATTTCTACAAGAAGAATTGGGTGTGAGAAAACAAACCTCATATGCTATTCTTCTTGCGGAAACAAGTTGTTTACCTCTGGAGGCTAAAGCTCTATACTTGACCATCACTTACATCAGAAGTGTGAGATCTCTTGATGCTTCTCTCCTTCCTACTCAAGCTTTGAGTGCCACACGTGCCAAAGGATGGTTAGCGGATGTGATAACTTGGTCTTTGAGGTGGAATGTGACGGAACACGATTGGGACCTACAACCTATAGCACTACGTGAATGTCTAAAGGAGGAGTTTCTGAACATTATTTGGAGCAAGCGCGGCACCAAGATGCAGTTTTATCAACTTCATGTGAATCCTATGCTTGTTTATTGTGAACAGTATTACCTACTTGCAAGAATCTCTACGTCCTTACAACATATTATTGCTAGGCATAGAACTGGATCTCATAGACTTGGAATTGAGGAAAGACGATGGCTTAATATTGATAGGAGTGAACGTATTTGTAGGCAATGTGATGGAAGAGAAGTTGAGGATGAAGAGCATGTATTTCTTACTTGTACTAGATATGTAGAGATTAGAGTGATTCATAATATAGATGTAAAGAATTTGTATTCTTTGTTACAGTTAGTTTCTTTTGATTTAGGTTGTTATATTAGACACATTATTAGTTATCGTTCTAGTGCTCTTGGCACTAGCTAGGGATTGGCCTTTGGGGTCTTAACCCTTGTTTGTGATTGTTGCTTGTATTGAGTTTTTCAGCCTTTTGACCCTTTGGGTCCCCGGGCTTGATCTATTATTTATTTATTTGGTTATATATTACTTTGATGCAATCAGTATATTTTTTGAATTGAGTAACAAGCATTGAATTTCTTTTGGCAATAAAAAATTGGTTGCAAATTTTATCATTCATGTTCAAGTAGATTATATTGCAATTAGATCTTAACTCCAAGACTTGTTGTTTTATTCATATGCAAATGAGAATGGATTGTATGCTTTAAGATTATGTATTTTATGAATATTTGTATATATATATATTCATATTTTTTTAAAAATAAATTTGTACTCTTGTATTAACAAACTTCAATTTTCATTTTTAATTACTTATCATTGATGATATAATTTTGATCTTATAAAAAAAATCTTGTTTTATTGAGAAATTATGTTTATAAGTTTGAATGAAATATTATCATGAAATATGAAATCTAGTCATTGATGGAAAATAACACTTAGATACTTATGAAATTTCAAGATATTTTATTTTGATTAATAGATAAAAAATATGTGAAAAAGTTGGAGGATATTTCATTGGATGATTAAAAAAATACTTTCAAAATTGGATTAGTGGCTCACAATTTTAGATACAAAACAATGCCAATTAAAAGAAAACATTCAATATTACAACAAATTAATTATACTATTTTGTTTGTTACTGACTATGTGCGTTTGATTAAAAAAATCTGCATGAAATAATTCATCAGCTCAAAGTAACAATATGAAGAATAATTGAATGTAAATATTCTATAAAATTTTAAAAACCTCATAAGCAATAAAATGCAGGATATGAAATTTCAATGAAAATCCAAAAATATATTTGAATATATTTAAAATATAAATTAATAAAAATTTAGCCCCATATTTTATATTTGCATGGATGACATGATCATTTTGTTTAAAAAAAATATAATATCTATAAATGTAGATTTTTTTTCATCTTGAGAAGAAAATAAATTTGAGAAATAAATCAGTTATGTATTTTAAAAAATAACTTTAATAAAAAATAATAAATTTAACTTGTGCTCAAAATAAAATATCAATTCATAGAAATTTTGTTCACAATAAATATGTTAAGTCAAATTCTATTTTATCAAGGAGAAAGTTTTTGAAATTTTTCGAGCGTATCGAAATTGGTTTTAAATCCAGTAAGCAATATAATTCTATCAAAAAAACTCATGACTTCTATGCAAAAATTTTTAAAGATCATAAGTAAAATAGTTAGTTAGAGTAATTAGCATTTCTATATGATTGAAATAGTTAAGGAAATTTTGTGTTATGAAACATCATGTATTTTGGTCAGCATATGTTGTTGAAGTGATATGTATAATTTTGCGTGAACTTTATTTCAAAAAATTTGTGATTGTAAATTTTGATTTTTCATATCATTTGACAGATTCATAATAATCTAAAATAAAAAGTTAAATTTATTAACATACAGGTTTTTTGAAAATTTCAGTTTTTTTCCAGAGTATATATATAATTGTTGCCGGATTTTCACGAGTACTCACAAACACAAGCTCACACTCAGATACACACAATGTAAACAAAGAATTGGTTTGACACTTGTGACGTTCATGAAACCAGAAAGTCTTACTGCAGTAAACCTAAAACTGTTCAAGTAAAACTTTGGACATCTATTCTTTATGCTCAACATACAGGCATTATGCGACGTTTGTGACAAGAGTTATTCCACGGTGTATGAAAGGTCAATTATGCAATTAAAATCATTTTGACTACTAAAAAATGCACGGCAGTTGTGATCTTGCAGACTACATCACTTTGACACACATCTTTCGTGTAGTGTTAGTATTAAAAGATAATATGTATAAGTAGGAGTTGGAGTAAGAATAAAGTTAGGTTTTGTTTTGCAAGTGTTTAATTTTCAAAGCGCACACGTATACATGATACAACGAGAGTGTTGTGGGAGGTTGATTGAGCAATTCTTCATTAACATAGACTATGCATAAACATGTGAAGCTACCTAGGCGTTCGTGCATGAATCGATTGAGAGTGCTGTTTATCTGAACAGCAATCTCAAAAGACCGTTTCAAAGTTGACTTGACTTGATCTGAATGATTATTGTGTGAATGATTTGTTTTTTAATAATTGGTCGCAAAGGGTTGATCAATGTGGGTTGTCTTCAGAGTACATATGTACAGTATCTAAAGATGTATAACTCGAATAAGATTTTTTTTGGTTTTTTTGTCAACTCTCTCCGGTGTCTTGGAAACTACTTTACATTTCTTGACTTTTTGGAATCAATCTGTACTGGTTTGTAGTTACTTCGTATTCAACGTTGTTGTTACATTCTATTTTATAACATATTGAACTGGTTGATCCTAAATATAAATAATCTAGATTAAACTTAAACATTCATCACATACCGTTTCTCAAGCTATCATAATCATAGATATATATCTATTAAATTCTCATCTCATTGACCAATAATGATTGTTGAAATGAGAATGAATACAATACTTTATCAGATGTATTTTTAAGATTACGAGATTTGAGACTAACATATGATGATCATTGCAATGTAACTTTACTTTGATTCTCACAACTTATATACCTTTGATAATTGCTGATCGTTTTATTTACAACCTAAAGCAAGATATCTATTGTTTAGGAAAATACTTACCTTGAAAGTTAAATATGAAGTTTCATCGTTACTCCATAACCAAATAATAGAGAAGTTCTTATAAAGTATTTTCAAACTTTATTACATACAAAGATGCAAATCATTCGCAGTGAGTGCACGGTAAATTTGGGACATGCATGAATCAGAAGGTCATGGGTGGAAAGTTTGTACCATGCAACACAAGTTTCCACTCTCGTTCCTATGTACGTATGCCCTACTCAATTGCTGTGCAACCCCTACGGATGTGCATCCATGAAATCCGCAGCTCTACGGATTGCTCCATAACTGTCAAAACATCTCTGTGCTGTAGGGGTCCCACATCAGCTGAAGTAGGATTGTCCTGAAGCACAGCTGTTTGAAGACGTTCAGTTTTCCAGAGCCTCTGATAAATTCCAGGACACCGTTCTGGTGGCTTGAGTGAACCAAATGTCCTTCAAATAGGCAATAAACAAGATAAGAAGGGCCCCGAAAATGGTGGAGAATAATTCTGCAAAGGGCATGTCAAATCAGTGGCTCCAAGAGCTGTAGAGAAACAAAGTCAGCTGAGAATCTAATTTGGGACTTAAATAGTACTGCAATGCAATTCCGCAACTGCGAATAGCATGTTACTTAAGTTACAAGCAAAGTATTAGCCCGGAGATGTTGGCAGTGAAGAATACGGTTTGTGTACCTGCCTACGAAGTTTCCGTAAAAAATTCTGGCATGATCCTCCCCTGATTTCTTGCATGTAGGTGCAGTATGTCGGAGAGTGGAGCCAACTACTGCAAGCAAGAAGAATTTGATATCGGCTTGAGATTCTTCTATCACATGACAGCCTCGTCACAAGGTCCACAAAAACCGTCGATTTTTGTAGACCAGTGCAGTGCAATTGACTACTGCAAATTGTGAATTCATCACTGGTCCCCGCCGCTCGCTTCTACCGCTCTTCCTCCCTATTAAGCCTTGGGTAGCTTCATCTCGATCAGAGCTCACCGCTATATCGATAGTCACTCAGTTCATCATAAGACTGGGCCTGGAGATTCCAAATGGGTGTTTGAGGTTGTGGGCAGGATGTAGTCACTCTTCATAATGTATATACAGTTTGCCTGGCCACATCTAGTGCTTTCTTCTAGTATGAATCCCCGTTGAGAGTCCCATTAGAAGTGAGGATGTCATGCCCGGGCGAGTGATGTTTTCTGCTCAAAATCTGATTCTCCGAGAGATAAGTATAAAGTAATGGAGCTACACATGGCTCACATTTTTTCCTTTCTTTCTGTCAATGTTCAATTCTGCATTCAGTCCAGAGTCCTTCACCGCTGCGATTTGCACTAGGAAATTTGATCGGGTTAATTCTACATTCTTAGACAAAAGAATCTGGAATCCGTTGTCATATTGCAGCTGATCTCAATTCGACGACTTGACAGAGAATCTATCTCCAGTTACAACAACTTCACCGTGTGGCGAGCTTTGCCCAGTTCTGTGATACTGCTCCAGACTTTTGCTAGATAGCCAGCGCAAGGCACGAACATAATTATTTTGAAGCTGTCAAGTTTATATGTCTGATTTCAAAGCGACAGGCTGCAGCTTGAATTCATATGCTCGATTCAAAATTTGTCACAAAGCTCAATTGCTAAGGCCACATCCGGGATAACAAATTCAGTCTCAACATGGGAAGGACAACTCAGCAAGGATTTATTGTGGGGATCACGATGGCGATAGTTACAGTCACGCTTTTCATTCTCGCCTTTATGTTACTGTACTACTACCGACTACGGCGGCAGAGGAAACAGCTGACTTTGCACCCGCTTCCAGAATCCGACAATTCAGACAATTCCAGAGAAGCGAACAACTTGTCCATCTTGGTGCATGTCTCTGCTTAGATGAGGGTCAACTGCCTTATGTACATACTATTTGCTTGACGGGTCCCCATTGCGGTGATATGATGTAGACATGTCATATTGTTTGACTGCTTCACGGTTGTAGCCTTTATATTTATATGGGTTGGAGCCCTCGCAATCATGATTAAGCCTGGGGAGAGTATAGAGCGCTTATATCAAAGATATTGTCTTCTAGACTTCTAATCCGCCATTATGTTGACAAACCTTCTAGTCTGTGAGTTCCCATAAATTTCTAGTCTCCTTCCATTGCGAAGTCATGTCCAGTTTCAGGCAATGATCCTCTTCACTCCGTTCCTGTCTGAAGAATTTGAATGTCATTCACCAGTTTGCGCGTCAAGGAGATGTGAAGGTGAAGTGTCGGCACTTTCGTCCAAGTTTGTATTTTACAGAATTTCGGGATTCCATACTAATCCTCAGCCTGGTAAAGCGCGCACAACTTTCCTTGTTTCGTTCTTGTATGTATGTAGTAATTGTGGTCAGCTAACGAGGAAAAATCAAAGAGCTGCAATGCATGAAAGTAGAGGTCTGGAGTCTGGAGCTCGCTCGCAGCAGGCCCAACGATCTGCAACCGATGTTGTCTTTGCAAAATGCATCCGAATTGTAACGTAGATGTTTACAAATACAGCATCTGAATGCAGAGTTTGTCGAGCTTGAGAGCATCTAATGGTTCTGAGGGAAATGGTTAGAAAGAAATTTAAGTCTAGCTCCGTAAATTTTGGATGTTTTGGAGAGCTTTTCGATTTGTCAAGTTTATGTTGCAGATATCCATTTGCATGACTCATTCAGATTTTGACTGTCAACTCTGGTCAACTGGAAATTGCACACGGAAGAGCTCGAAGAGTGCTGCATGGAGTTGTAAGAGACGATGTGTACCTGCCTGCAGCTGGTGGCGTTGACATATCAGTCTGTAAACCACCGTGCCGATGATATGCCCGAGTTGAGTTTCTGTTTCTTTTCCGTTAATTCTGAAATGTTTACACTGGAATTTGCATCTAAAAGTCGTAATAGTCTCTCCAGTTCACATCATATTCTGATTGTGAATTGTAGACGATGTTTTTCCTGATTTGTCGACATTACAATGAGAATGTGTGTCTATTATTTAATTCTGATGCTAATGTTGGCACGGGTAGATCGAACAAATGAAGTTCCAGTAGAGATTAAATCAATTTTCTGAAGGCTTCAAACTCAGCGAATGAATCTGTTGTTGGAATCAAGAGCGATATCAATCACATTTACTTGTTTTGTTCTTTTTGACATGTATAGCTTCTCAGTAACAATTAGATGTACTCAGAAGGTGATGGTGAGGTCTCCCGTCAAGTCCATTTGGAAGTGAGAAGCAAAAGAGTCATTCTACATTATGATAGCATTATTGCAGGATCTTCGTTATCATGAAGTGTGCATGCCGACAGGGCGACCACTGCAATAAGCTTTGGGGTTCAGAAAAAGTGATCGAATGCTTCAAAAGACTGGACCGGGAGTAGAATGTGATACGCATATATATCAAACAATAGCTGCGTGGTACAATTTGTACATACCAAATCTCCGGGATTTGTAATCGAGGGACTACGAACTGGATTTAAATATTCTGTTGTAAAGGGAGCTTCATTCCAACTGTATCATATAAACTGCTTTGAGGGTAGTGCTGAGTCTACACGGTCTCCAGACAGATTACAGGACAGATGAATTTCTCACCGTTTCAGGTTCCACCCCAGCCTCATCAACTTTTGAAGTTACGTGATGTACTGTGAAACCGCAGAGCACTGCAATCATCATTGTCCGATATTAGGAATCACATCCGCCATTTCACGAAAGTTGCGCCACATTCCTTCCCCAAAGATATGTACAATAGTACTGCACTGCGCCAGATTCGTGACATAGGCACAAACCACTGGATTTGCGCCACTGGAAGAAACTGCGGCGGTCTTTTGGTGGATGACGCAAGTGCCAAGTAGATAAGAATGTTCAGAGTAAGCTTTCGTACCTGAATCTGCCGCTGACGGCCCCAGCGCATCATTCTGGACGTATAAAGTTACATGACTAAAAGAGTATGTGCAATCCCTTCCCACAATTGGTGACATTTTGCTTCAACCTCAAAGGAATAATCTTTTTTTCCCCTTGTCTGCAGTCACGAGTCTTTGATTTGTCATGAGTGTTTGTTTCCACATGAGTCGTACCCTACGAGCGACCACTGAATCTACATTATACCACCGACTGCTATATTCATACTTTCATCTCCTCCTTTAATTGAAGAAGATCGAATCTAAAAGTGGGTTAAGCTTCAGGTTTTTGTCCAGATCTTGGCTTTTTCAGAGACAATCTCAGTAAACTGTCATTGTCACTTCCACAGTTCACTTTTAACTTCAACGCTTGGCATATTTGTATATTTCCCTTTTTAGGAGGTGTGTTCTAGTGATTTGAGTTGAGCCATTTGTGTGAAACTCTATATGCCTTCCAATCGTTATTTTATATCACATTACTAAAGTTCTAAGTGTACCTCCAAAATAACGGTTACAAGTGACCGAGCAGATAATCAGCTAGAAAGATGTATTCATGCACTAAAAAAACCATTTCTTGACTTTCAAGTTTGAAGCATTCTTGACTTAAGATTGCTATTGGAATGATTTTATGTTGCATTAGTTTCTCATTAAATTTCTATCTTGTTATTGGTGATAGAGAAATCTTTGTATGTCAAAATACTCATTCTCCCTAGCTCAAGTGTATACTCAAGATGACGTAAATTTTTCACTACATTCAAGTTGAAAAATGCAGTTATTCCGAAAGTTTATGCTTAAAATGATGGAAATGACTTGTTCAAAACCACTTACTGAACTAATTTTTGCAAGCATGTTTATCACGCTTCATTTAATTTTTGAGCTAGTTACTTTTGTTTATTTATATAGTATCGCTGAAAAATTCACAAGAACTAGAAAATTGTTGCTCAACACAAAAAGCAAAACATAGCAAATATACTAGATGTAAGAATAACGTTATTTGATTTCTTCTTCTCCATATGTTAGTTGAATGCGACACGTTATCAATTTGTGTGCTTGTTAAATAAAAATTGAGTGTGTTAATTCAAAATTACACATCAACAATCCTTATACTTGTAAGTATTATTCGTTATATCATTAATCCACTAGTAATGAAATGTATTAGTAGATGTGTGTGAGACCTAATCTCCTTGAAATTGTTGAAAAGATATATATAAGAAAGAGTAAAATCATTTTATATTAATGTTTCATCTTTTAATGAGCTACTATCTTGATTCATAATATTATAGTTTTATTCTATTGTACATCAATTGATTTGTAGCAAGATGTAATACATTTTGACTATCATGGTGAAGATTGACAAACTCCAATTTTCATCCTATCTAAGTAATAAAACTATTCAATCAAATAGTCTATTTTGTTATTCCACCTTACTTACATATTCAAATTTAGTTATAGACTAAATTATGCACTTTTGCAAGATAGATCTAAATCTAATGCATACATCATCAAATGTAAACATGTACCAACATATACAATTGTAGATTTTCTCTTATTCATCGTGAGCATCAACGTAACCTAGGAAGTATTTTCTTAGATGATGTTGAAATTTTCAACATCATCTAAGAAATCATCAACAATAAATCATAAAATCTGGTACTCTTTAGGTATTTCAAAATTTATTTTACTGCTTATTAATGCACATTTCATTGATTTGACATATATTTTTTCACCTTGTCCATAGTTAGAACAAAAGAATACCTTGTGCACACCATAAAACTACATGAATTTGCTCATAATATTGTCATAGAAAATCGACGACATCTTTTTTTGTCAATGGCATAAATTAGACAAAAAATTGCAAAAATTTTGTGTGTTGTAAAAAGAGTTCATTATCCTTTAGATTATGTCATGTTAAATCTATGAAACACACGGTTGAACGTAATTGTATTGATTCAATCATAGCATTTTGTTTTTCAATTTTCATGAACTCCCATCTCTATTATTTATTTGAATCTATTTACATTCTTCATTTTAAATGCAAATTTCAATTGTTTCTTGCATCTATTGAAGTGAGATTGATTTTTTGCCAAAATGAGTATGTTATCCTTGTAGAATATTAAAATAATGAAATTAAAATACTCATTCTTCATTTTTTTCATGTATACACAAGGATCATACACATTTGTGTGAAGATTGTTTTGCTTTCATAAACTCATCAAAGCTCGCATTTTACTGTCTACAAGTTTGTTTCATATCATATAATGATTTCAACTATCTATAAACCAACTTAACTTGAACTTTTTACTCAAAGCCAACTATTTATCCCATGTAGATTTTCTACTCTAGAATTTCATAAAGTTGTGCACTATTTACATCCATTTGATTCATGACGAAACTAAGCAATGTAGCAAATGCATATACTACTCGGATTTTAGCATATTCTGCTATAGGTGAAAATAAATTATTATAGTTCACAACCTTCTCTTAGTGAAATCTCTAACCATCAACTCGCTTTAAAAATTCTACTCTTGTTATTGATTGGATTGTTTTTCATCTCATACAAAGATTTGCAATCAATTTAAGCTTGATTCATTAAAAACTTCACTAGATTTCAGGTCTTGTTATCCATCAACGAGTACATCATCATTTTATGGCAATATTACACTCAAATTTATTGATAGAGTTTGAATTGCTCTATAAATATTTTTTTTCTCTTTTCAACATCATCACAATTTCACCATCATACTTTACATCAATATCACAATTTCTAAAAATGTATCAATAAACTCATAATTCATATCTTTTAAGAATATTACTAATCCAATTTGATAATATCATAATAAACGAATCTAGTTGATTTCTTTTGTGTGGTGCAAATTCTTGAGGTTCATCAATAATAACGTGCTACTCCAATTCTTTCTTTTTAACAATTTGCTCCATTTATACTTGAATTTTTTTCTTGTATCACATCAATAATCACATAATGATTAATCTATCCTCAAAAACATCCGTGATTGAAAATTTATCCTTGTTAGCATGAGATGATTATGAATTTTAATTTTCTTTCAATGATCTAGGTTCATTAAATAAAACATTTTCACTGAAATTAGCTTTACAAGCTATTAGAATTTATAACCTATAACCCATTGCATCACTAGCATATCTAGAAAAACAACACTATCAGATGTAAGATTCAACTTTGTTATATATCTTTTTAGATATGAGAGCATAAATCGTACAACAAAATCTTCTATCAATAATATAATTAGTCATCCGTTTGCGCCTAAGTTCAATAGTTCTTAATAAATTGATTGTAGTAAAAGAATAAAGGCTAATTAATACCTTATTGTGATATTGATAGCTTCAAATCAACATTCATATGATAAACCACTTTTTCCAAGATCAGTAGCTTGAAGTTTTGTAAAATAACATCTTTTGTTAAGTATAAATCTTGATGAGATGACAAATGACTTCTATTTTTGCACATAACTCTAAAACTACTTAAAAACTTTACTTTTGTCATTATTCATACATAAATATCTCACCTCAAATTTGAGTCTCAACTTGGATTATTTAACTTTTGAATGTAAACATCTCAAACTTGTGAGTAGGAAAAAAATTTCACACAAATTTTGAGTAAGCGTAGATAAATGATACTTACTAAAACTTTTCAGAGTGATTTTCAAGATTTTTAAACAACACATTATTATATACATACTCAAATATTTCATTGGAATAAAAGTTTCAACACAAAATATTTGCATATGATTTTTGTTCATTAAATATTGCTTGCAAAATTATAAGTCAACTTTACATATGCAAGATAAAAAGTGATTATTGCAAAGGAGTTCCAAGTACCTATTCTTCATGGATCAATGCCTAAAATGCCATACATGAGTAATCTCAACTTGAAGTCAAGTAAATTGACTTTATCTAGAGAATGATGCACTCCAGCAGATATAGATTGTTATATTTATAACCTCTAAACATTAACCGATCACATATTTTCACATCAAGCACTCCATACTTAGGTCTTTTTGAGTTTAACCTTACAAGAAAGATCAATTTTTTTTTCATATCGGATGTAAATTTCACTTGAATTAATTGTAGATTGTACTCCATCAAACATTTGAATCTTAATAGATTGAATATACTCAATACTACAAGATAAATGATTTCATATAAGAATCGAATAGTTTGATATTAAAAGAATAAAAAAATTCTCAAATGTAACAGATTTGATAAATATAAGCACCATCTAGATTCAAGAGAAATCACCAACATACTTTGGTGATTATGTAGTGTATACTTCTCACATCATAATCCATAGTTCAGCAATTTATCATTCTCGAGATCAAACTTCTGAAACATATTTGATCTTCAAGCAAAAATACTTCTTTACCTGATCATTCTTGTCATATTTCCAATATACCATTTTTTCCTCTCTAGATATTCATCCATAAAATTGGATCTTCCATTAAATGCAAAACGTTTATAATCTTTGTCATTTTATTAATAGAATCAATCTCTAGTTACATTAAAGGCTATACTGAAAGAGCAACATGCAAGAGATGATAATATCATTTTTTTTTTAAAATTACAAGTGGAGAGATCACTTACACTTACTTTGTTTGCTTGTCACAATCAAATAACACATGTGAAAATGATTGTTAAAAATCAAGAAATAAACTCAAGGTATGAGAATTTTATTCTCATAAGTTATTTTATTTGTAAGATTTTGAAGATTAATGATAAGATCATCAAACATGATATGGTTTTGTATCATTATGCTAAAATCTTTCATCTTAAAATATATTAGCTTCAAAAAGTAGTACAATCTGTTTGATAATCCATTGCGAAGAAACTAAAACCCAAGAATCTCAAAATACATCGTACAATTTTTATAGTCACCCGCTTGCTTTAGAAATAAAGGTTATAAATAAAAGCTTGTTGTTGTAGTTGTCTCTCACCCACTTGCTTTACAAGTAAAGGTTGTAATTGAAATGTCATTATACCCAGATCTTGTTGTACAATTTTTATAATCCCCAACTTGCTGTACAAGTAAAGGTTGTAAATTAAAGCTTGTTGTTGCAGTTGTCTCTCAACCACTTGATTTACAAGTGAAGGTTATGGATGTAATATGAAAGAACTCACAGCTTGTTGCTGTAGTTGTCTCTCTATCACAGTAACAACCTGTGAAGTCCATGTTCAACGTGAAGAATGGCTTCATGATGTGTTTTGTTTCCGTAGTTTCTAATTTTGATTGCTCTTTCGCGACTTATCATGCTATGCTAATGATTATCTATTACGATCACTGACAGTGATCATTATTACCTTTCCATGGTAAATTTTTTGAAGGTGGACACATATGTCAAGAATTGTGGCAAGAGAAACTAAACATCGACAAAGGTCTTAGTGTAATGCGTTTTCGTGATGCCTGCTGGAAACGGACTGGATCTGGACATAACACTAGACTCAACGGAGTGCACCCGCAGCCGAGGTCATGGCTAACACGAACTTAGCATCTGCGCAGGAAGAGTTTCAAACCCTGGGTAAAAGTACTGAAAGAAGGCTTCCTTCTTGAAAGATGTCCCAAACATCAGAACTTGAAGTAACACATACGCATTACCACGTATGTTTGGCTGAAAGGAGTGGCTTAAATCACACAGTTCTCAGGACTACAGAGCTTTCACGCCAAATAATCGCCTCATGATCCAACCACTTAAACAATAAGACAAATGTTAAGGGCCCCCTACTCAGGTATTTCTTGTCAGAGCGGACTGTACACAGCACACTTTTCAAGTACTCGAGAAAGATCGCTTTACGGGTATTGACGAATCTATCAACTCCATCAACAATGAGTAAGCCTGTGCGAACATGTAAGAGACATTCCAAACTATGGGGGGCAAGGCGAAGCATGCACGGATGCAATTTCTGCAAGGTTGTGAATGGCGTTCGAATCTAGTGAAGCAATTTGAACTGCTGATGACATTCAACACACGTGACATTGACAAATGATAGGCACCAACAACCTCTGCTTGAAAACAGAATGCACTTTGTACACAGGGATCATCATTTCAAAGTCAAAAATGTGTATCAATGTAATATTACAACTTGAGATTGGAGGCTCGAGGGAGTTGTTTCTCGTCCTTTCTGGAAGCAACTTTGCCTTTGCCATCTTTAGCACTATCCAGAGCTGCGAACACCTGTAACAGAGGGACTCCACAGTTAGGCCCGGCGTGTAAAACTGTCAAATGATGAAATAAAAAGTCTGAATCCTCTTGAAGTTCATGTACCTCACGATTAACAATGCGTAGGCAACCGGCGACCATAATATGTCTACTTCATAACAGAGGTCTGATTGTATCGACTCATAATCACTAACTACAATACGAAGTCAAATCGGAAGTGGACACAGTCCTAAGAGAAGAGCTTCAATTACCTTTGTAGATTTGGAAAAGGAAGAATAGCCAATTTTGAGACCAGGTGTCGCCTTTGGATCTGCAGGGGTGGACCCACTAGGGCGGACTCTCTTTCTAGCTCTAAGTTGATCTTGTGTCCTCCGTTCACCTGCTCAAAGACAGAAGATAATTAGCTATGCAAACCTGTTACGAGGGTACTCTCACTCAATGTTCTCAAACCATCACTCAACGCGTCCAGCAGCTGTAACAGTATCTCCAAGGTACCCCAATATCACAAAGAGTATCTTGAGACGGCCGACTTCAACCCAAAGCAGAACCCCTACTAACCATCTCAATTCGTAAGCTTAACGTCAATCCGAGATACAAAAAGCTGCAGATCGGGAGTGGGTGAGGAAGACCTCATACCTTTGCGCTTTCTTTTCTTTTGTGCTCTCCGTCTCTTCCTCTCCTCGGGAGTAAGCTCAGCCTCGGCTTTGAGGCCATCTTCTCCCGTAAACACTTCCTCTGGTGCAAGCATGGATGCATCTGAAACTGCAAGAGGTGCTACCTGCAGAACAAGAATGGATGAGCAAAGTATGCGTTGTTTTATATCCCAGGCTATCCACTTAGACTGGGTCAGAGGCCCTAAAGAACGACATGGTATCAAAAGAGATCTGATCACCTAAACTCGCAGACTCAGGAAATTCAAAAATACATACCTCTTCCATTGCGAGGGCAGGTACGTCTGCACGAACCCCCATGTCCTCAATGACAGGCTTAGGAGCAAAGTTGAAGTGGGAGAGTGCATCTAGACGGCTGCAAAGAGCTTTAAACAGAAGTGTTGCCTGTTCAAACACCACCACAGTCAGAGATCAGACGCCCAGTCCAGCCAAAAAGACGGAAATATGGACAACCAGCACAGAAGAATTTACGACTCACTCTAGGCAACCCACCCTGTAGTGAACATACCTCGCTTCTCAAGGCATCATTGCTGGTGGCTGGAGCAACAGCCGATCCCGTTTGCTGCATATAATCGGCCTGGCACACAAGATAAAAGGGATGAGAACAGTGATATCTCAAACAAAGACATGAATAGTATTAGCAAAAATCGAATATAAAGGGGAATGGCTAGAAAAAGAAACGCGAAACCCAGAAGCTCACCTCATAGAGCTCCCCAAGGCCTTTCTGGCTTTTGTTCTCATCCTGTAGAAAATGATCATACCTTAGTTATACCGTAATCAAGGAAAAGTGCAGACAGACAAAGCATTACGTGCACTACAATGAGAAACCTTGCAGCTGATATACCAATTCAATCCGTTCTTTCGGTGCAGTATCGGCCGCGACGTATCTTCTTTGTATGTCGTCAAAACGTCCCTGTTCACAAGTGTAGCAACTAGTTTCAGAACCCCGTGAAGAGAATTCTACGACAGGAGTAATATCACAGGGGTGAAAAAGAGAGTAATTTACTCCCTCGTGGTGTCTATAGAATACCACATATAAAAAAGCCAGTTTTGGTAGGTTATTAACATCACAAGGACACTCAGCCTACACCAGCAAATTGAAGAACATGTTTGCTGGTAAATACCTCTGCAATGCGAGCTTTTATCATGTCCTCCAATGATGCTGTGACTTCCTCCGTGATGACAGGGGGTGGACGGGCATTGTGATCAAAATCGAGCTCCACCTCCAAAGCACTGTTCTTCGGTCTCTTCTTAGCTGTCACCTGCAAATTGTAGCACACATCCAATATTCATGTCAAAGTCCACATGAATCAAACCTCGTGGTCAAATTTGGACTACGAATGATTAGATTACTCATGGTGTTACGATCAAATGTGGACTACGAATGATTAGATTACTCATTGTGTTACGTTCCCATATACCAACAACGTGAAGCAATAGCAGAGGAAGTGAGAAATTAAAGGTTGGTTCACCTCTCCTTGCTGCGTCCAATCCTTCGGATCAATGTTGGCTTTTTCGAAATACTCAATTCGTTTCTTAGCCTTCAATAGACGTTTCTCGTGAGCTGAGAGATTCTCCTCCTGCACAGGTAGGCAATTTAAGACCAATTACACGTTTTGCAAACATGTACTTGAGGCATATTAAACTCATGCACGTTGACAGCTGGAACTCTAGGATTCAAGTGTCCTCGGGTCACCTGTGCTAGCAGAATTTCTTTATCACCAGAAATCATGTCCCCTTCGCCCGATCCGTCTTCATTGTCACTGTCGTCTACTTCGTTTCGATCATCGAGATCGAACTTCACCTTCCGCTTCTTATCTTTGCCAAAAAATTCTTCGTATTTTCCAAGTCCTAATTCCTTGCCTCCACCATCCTCCTCATCATCTTCATCATCTTCTTCACTAAAACCAGCTTCGGCAGCTTCTACGTCGTCTTCGTCTTCATCATCTTCCTCTCCATCAGTACCAGAAGGTGAAGGAAGACCATTCTCATCAGCATCAGCTTTATCCAAAAAGTTCTCCATTTCGCTAATTTTGAAAAAATCATCTTCAACGGGGTTCTTTGGTGCACCCTGCTCTTCGTCTTCGTCGTCCTCTTCTTCAGAACCTGAAATTCCCTCGAGTCCGTCCAGGTCCTCGTCCGATCCATCTGACTTCCCTTCGTCTTCATCTTCGGAAGCTGAATGCGCGCCATTTGCGAATTCCGTTTCTCTTTCCTTATCGTCATCCTGCACGTGTTTCTTCCTTTGTTCGGACAAATCTTCTGGCAATACAAAATAATTGTCGACTGAAACCTTCTCGAGAATTTTCACTCTGCGACGAATGTAAGACAGCACTGGAAGGGACTGAAGATCAATCTGTTGCCAAATCTGTTCGGCATCGAATCTATCGGTGTATAATTTTCTCAGAGGTGCTTTATCGAAGTTGCTCGCAGTGAGGGAGAATAAACCCTCTGAGGCCTGCTTCGCACAGTCTACTAATGCAGGTGAGGCACCCAGCCAATCGATTGCATCAGAACATTTCAATCTGTTAAGCGCTTCCTCTGCACCGGGATCAAATTCAGCTGGCTTCGTCTTCATTCCCTTACTCGGCTCTTTGTTTACACCATTTCCAAGGGGTTTTACCACCCGGTTCATCGTGCCCAAGTCTAAGAATTCATGCCATGAACGACTTTCTCCTTAGAAACAGATCGCTGCTCACATTGATTTCCTGTAAGTTCATCAATTTCGAATTCGTGATACGAACTCTGCCCCACACACCGAGTCCCCCGTCTGCCAATTCTCGTTTCGCGCGTACTCCTCAACCCCGCACAGAATCCTTTCAAAGCCGAAGAGAGCTAAACCCTGCATCGTCAACCTCCCTTGGCTAAAACCCTGTGGAGTCCCACATGTACCAAGCCAAACCCTAACCCTAATCCAGCGTAGGATGGATCACCACCCTCGATGCCAAATCTGGACGGCTGATATCAACTAATATCGCCCAGGACGACGACTCCACATCCGACCGGGCTCGTAGGTCACGGATTTAGATGAGATCATTGTATATCATGTTTCTCGACGGAATTCATCAGCAGAGGATGTTAATGTCGTAGTCTGCTTGTCAAAACCAGTTGTTTTTCACGTCATGTGCGTTTTTGCATTCGGGAGTAGTGGATCTCTCCCGGATGTCTTTAGACTGCGGTTTCAAAAGCCTGACTTCTTTTAACGAAGGCAGCGAGTCGGAATTGATAAGATATGGCCAAGGAGGAAGTGGTTTCGTATCACTCGGCAGTATTGAAGCTCCCGTAAACTGCAATTCAAGAGCAGTCCGTTCCGATTTTGTCTGCACTCTCTGATTTGAGTGAAACGTGGCCACTGTTGATTCTTGGACATGACAGTTGACAGATCAGTTGCTCTTACTGGGACAGCCATCTTCAAGAACGGAACTGCATGTGCTTATATTTTCCGGCATTTGTGATGTCATCACGCTTGAGATATGAAGGGCGATAGGTACGACTCTGTTTGAACGATGGACTGTGCAGGAAGGGCCCCTTGTGCAAGTAGAGTGCTCGCTCCATAATTTTCGGAAATGTGCATGAGGATAGTATACCGACGAAGACGCTCTGAGCGTTTCAGCTTGCGGCTCTATGGAGATATTGTCAACTCTGGTTCATGCAAAATTACCTCTGCAGCAATCGGTTTGCATTCGAAGTATTTTCCACCATTCTGCCGCTGTTCCTCTTTCCCACCTTTAGGCCTTACTGTGACAGCCAAGTTAGTATATTTGCTAAGGGCGCCCAAGAAGCCCTGGGAAGTACTTATCTCACGAATCGCGACCGATGTGGGCAGGGGTCAACATCGTGGATGTTGATTGGTTGCAGTTCTCATCTGAAAGTTCCAATGCTTTTCCCAGGACTTTTCGTCAGGTTCGTCGCCGAATCGATGCCCAGGGTCTTCTTTACACTTTGTATGGAATGTTTGGACAATCACACCCGTGGCTCACTGTTGGGCTTCGCCTGGCCTTAGAGCCCGGTGGATCGTACCAGCTGATCATCAGCAGTTGAATAGGGCAGCCACACTAGGAAGATCCTCTTCTTCGGGGCTGGCACGTGAATATACTCAACACTTGGTCTTCTACTGTCTAACATGGTGGAGGTTCTCCATCCAGTTGAAGATTCCGCAATCCCACGAACAATTTCACGTACCTCGCTTTTGAAGCCACTTCCAGAGGTCCTCTATCTCGTTAATTGCCCTTGAGGGAGAAATACCTTGAGTATTACGAGATTCGCTCGTACAAGCCCTTGCTTGACCCAGACCTTTTCACAAGTATGACCCACTTGTCAGCACAGAATAGATTTCTGAATTGAGTGCAACAAACTGTATAAAAAAGTTAACTTCCCGTGAATTACTGGCGATCTAGCATTATCTGAGGTTCACGACAGAGGAATGATTATTAGAAATCTATTCAAAGAGGATACTAAGCCTGGGAAAATCAATGTTAGTAATCACAACGAATGGATTGATAAATTTATGGACAGGATGAAGAGGGCTTAGTAAGCCAGATCTTCTCAAGACAAGCGAACTGTACGTACTTGTCGTAAACCCGTCCTGAAGTTCAAGTGGGGGTCATGAGGACCCCCAGTCTTCTGCCACAAAAGTCTGAGATTCGCATCTGGCAACCAAGACAGTGACAGCACAAATAACTGTGCGAGCGAATGGAAGGTCAAAGACAAAGCCGTGTCATGGAGTTGTGCGAGTATGTTCAAGCTCCTCCTCACTCAGAAGGATATAAATATTCGTGAGAATGTTGTGGGTAAGTGACGAAGAAGAGTTGTGGCACTTAGTTCAAAAGCGGATCCACAGACGTTTACTGGCCCAGAAAAGGAAAATCAAGACTTCAGGGTCTGGAGCCTCGAAGACGCCGTCCGACATGCAGGACATCGAGGACAATTGTAGATAATGTTTTGAAAGTCGAGCATTCGAGACCCTGAACCCGTCAAGTTAAGTAGATTCACTCAAAACCAAGGGCTGGCTCCATTATTACATCCAAATAAGCTTCTCGCTTCTCCAACTTTGCAGGAAAAAGTTAGATCATTCTTAGATCCTCATCGTAGTCTGATCTCACTTGCCTCGGTCTAAGTCTTAGCATTCTGCTAGTGATCACTTTGATAACCTCAAATTACGAGAAGCCGAGAAGCCGAAATCCAATCTCCGATTGTACACGCTTTGCAAGAGACAGAAGTGACAACGGACTGGACAAAAGAAGATACACAATTGTACAGCTTGAAAAGTGATACGAATTTCGACCAAAGGTAAAAAGACAGTTTCGATTACCCTCACATCTTTGGAATATTCAGTCAAGGGTTTTGAGTTTCGTATCTTCTCGAGATGATCGATGCGTACTTGTCTGTTTCATCTGTAGTTATAATTCTGAATTGCTGGGAGCAAGTGTCTGCGCAGTGCTGACTCGCTTATAACGTGTCTTGCAATGTTCATTTGTGCACGCAGAATCGAGTTCGACAGTCCTCCGAGATCGAACAAATTAATGATACATCCACATGACATGGAAGAGATGAGCCTATTTTATGAAGGGCCCTCGGAGTCAAGAGTTGGGCATGCGATCTCAACCGGCGAACGGAGTTTGAGACGAAAAGCAATGAACAGGGCATGCAAGCTAGGGCAGTTGTATTCAGGTGTAAAAGACGAGATCATGCCCGAGTTCATGCTGACTGGGGAGGTTCCAGAGGACGCAGTGCTCTCAGTGGACATGAAGGGTACTTATCTTTCATGGGAAGAGGAATTCTCAACGAAAGACAGGTTCAAATCACTGGAAGTAGAAGGAGAATTGAAGTTGAGCATCATGCTCGGCTTGGCCGATGTCAAGGCTGCCAGTAAGTATCTTACGAGCGTGACCAAGAGTTCGACTTGTGTGAGGATCTGCATGGTTTACAGAATTGTGACGAAAGAAGAAACTCTAGATCTCCAACACGACGACGTAGCGAGGATGTTCAGGTTGGAAGCGTTGCAGGACTCGCCTGCTACCCACGTCGTAGTAGGAATTCAGTGGGGCTACAGCGGGGTGATCGTCTTTGAACAAGGCGTGACCCAGGATGAAACCCGACATAACGCTGAGCTGAGCTTGAAGGCTTCTTTGAATACAGGTTTGGCTAGCTCAATTCTGCCCGGTTTTTTGAGTGACTTACTCCCGGATCCTGGCGAAGGAGGTGTAACACTCACACCAAGAGAACTTCAGAACGGCGGTGACAATCTGAAGAGGAGATCTGTGAAAATAATAGCCGACATCATGCCACAAAACGTCATAGAACCGACTGACTTCCAGTCTGCACTAGAGTTTGCTCGATCTGTTACAGACGAACAACACATCAAGATCAATGGTGGTAGGGGTAAGCCTCAGGAAATCCATCTTCTCAGCGTAGAGGCGGTATGTCAGAAACTGAGGACCACATTCGTGGTGCAAGGAACCATCTTGAAAACTCTGAGTAGCGATGTAATTGCTGCAGTAGAGAAGGAGCTGGAAAGGTTGGCGGATATGACGCAACTCCTCAACTTGACTTATGAGGAGGTAGAGGAAAAGGCCAGAAAGGTAGGGATTGCAGAGGACGAGCTCACAGGCATAGACAGAGTGCAGACTGAGATTGCGATAGAAACAATGAGGTTCCGTGCTGTTTTGCGGGACCTTTTGGTCGATGTTCGGTCTGGAATCAAAGAAGAGGGCGAGATTGGCTGTTCTCTGCGTGAATTTGAGCAAGCGAAGTGTTCCGCAGCGGGGCTGAATGAGCATTTGAAGACCTTGAAAGTTCTCGAAGAGAAAGTAAACTTTCTGGAGTACATGCAAGGGAAGGGTATGGAAATTTTAAGGGAGGGCACGGATCGTGATTCGTTGGTTGCAGCCAATATCACCGTATCTAGCCTGTACATCTTGTGCTACGATAACAAAGAGAGAGTGCAGCGAAGGTCAAGCTGGATCTGTAACTACGAGCTATTTGAAAATTTGATTGAGAAAAGCGAAGCGGGCGGTAAGTCCAAACTGTTCTTGCTAGACTACGCAAGCTGTCAATCTTGGGATCGAGATCAGGACGTTTGCATCCAGCTCTATAGAGGAGGGCTTTGGAATTCTGACTACCTCAAGACTGTCCAGTCTACGAGACTGTCAAGTGACGAGATGAATCTACTTCTCCTGGGTCAGACAGGAGTTGGGAAGTCAACTTTCATCAATGCTTTCTACAATTATTTGTCGTACGATTCCTTAGAAGAAGCTGAGCAAGGTGGGGTGAAAGTTGCTATACCCAGCATGTTCACCGAAGTCGACCGGTCTGTGAATGAAAATACCGTAACTGTGGGTGACAATAGTCTGGAGGATGAGAATTTCGAAGATCCCAGTCAGTCCTCCACGCAGAGATGCAAGTCATACGTCTTCAGAATAGAGGCCGACTCCGGCAGGCACGGGTCATCCGTCCGTCTCATAGACACACCGGGTATAGGAGATACGAGGGGAGTGGCTTGGGATAAGCAGAATATCAAGAACATCTTGATCCAACTGAAGAAGTTCAAGCACATCCATGGGATCTGCATTTTCCTAAAGCCCAACGAGTCGCGGCTGAATATATTTCTGGAGTATTGTATCACGGAGCTGCTGGTGCATCTTCACAAGAATGCCAGCCGCAACGTGGCATTCTGTTTTACTAGCGCGAAGTCCACCAACTTCCACGTCTGTGGCACTCTAAAGCCACTCCGAACTCTACTGGATAACATTCAACGGAAGAAGCAAGTAAGTATACAGATTACGGAGAGCACCATGTACTGCTTCGACAATGAAGCGTTTCGGTACTTGGCAGCATGCCAGAAGCCGCAAGGACCAAGTTTCCAAACCGAACGACCAGGCAGAAGCTGGGATCAATCGGTGAAAGAATGTAAAAGACTCTTGTCCAAGTTCAACTCCGTTGGAGCTCATCTGAGCGAGGAAACGGTGGACATCATCAAAGTCAAGAGTATCATTGAGAGCCTGGAGGAGCCCATGATGACGCTATCAGAAGATATAATCGAGCAGTCGAATGCCGTAGAGCGGACGCGTAAGGAGATCGAGGACACAAAAGAGGATCCGGAGGCGTTGAAAATGGTGCTAATGAAGCCCACCAAGGTGGTAGAATCAATCATTTACAAGCTAGCTTACCCAAGAACCGTTTGCAGGAGCCCTGCCTGCACGACCCACGTCGACCTGAAAGACGGCCGGACGCAGAGCATCTATAGAGTATGCCACGATCGGTGCACGGGCTACGAATCGTCCTTTAAAATATTCCAAGCAATAGGCATTCGTCTATGTTCGTCGATGCTCGCGGGCAAGTGCATTAAGTGCAAGTGTCGTGCCAGGGATCACAAATTCGTAACCTCCGAATTGAAGCAGGGACTGAGAGACATGCCAGAAAATCCGATAGATGGCGACGACCTCAGGCCGCATGAAGAGACCAGCGCAGCAGCAATCAAGAGGTCGGCCCTCAAACGGTACGAGACGAGGTTGATGGAGCTCGAGGAGGAGAAGAAGTACATTAACGACGCGCAGATCAAGTTCGCTTTCTTTCTGCAGGAACACAGCTTCACCTCCACAAACGACTACAAGTCGAGGTACCTCGACCGCCAGGTCTTTCAACTAGAGAGCAAGCTAGCCAGCGCGAAGAACATGGATCAGGACAGGAGGAAGATGATCGTCGACAGGATCGAGGATCTGAAATCCAGATCTGACAAATACAAGAAGGAGTTCCGAGAATTCGCCGCGTTGCTCAAGGGACAACCCCAAGCCGACGACATCAGCGTGGGCAACATCAAGGCCATTCTCAATGGCCTCAGAAATCTTCCCACCTGCGGTTCCGCGTTCGAAACGCACCTGGACTTGGACGCGCATGAGCAGCAGCTCGACGACTCCTGCTTGGAATTTCTGATCGAATTCACGGCCGAGAGAGAGGCTCACTCCGACACTTCTCTCCCGGCCAACCTCTTGCTGATGGAGGTACATCGACAACGTAGTAGAATTCACAGGGATTGACCAGGTTGGCCTGTCTATGACATGCTTCTTGTATACAGGAGTCTCCCGCCTAACTACGCACTTTGAACCTGGGAGGATTTTGGCGAATCACTTCCTACTCTTTTGATTAGATTGCAATGTAAAAATACCAAACGGGGAGATGTAAATGAGGATCAGCGATGTGATATAATAGAGAATTTGAGCAACAATGATGTGATATAATAGAGATGTTGAGCAACATCGATACTTCCCATAAAAAGGCCTGTAGTTCGATCATCAAAAATGTGTGAGACAAGCGGGAGCAAATCCTAAAGAGATATTTGTTAATATGTACTGGACCTGAAAAATAAATTTTTCCATCCTGTTGTTTGATTCATTGACCTTGAAGAAATACTTTACATTTGGATTGAAAGCATGAGTAGTGCCAGTTTATCTATTCCTCAATTGCCAAATTAAAAGATATTACATTAAATTTATCAATTTTGGCAATAGATTTTATAGCTAAATTAATCACCAAAGAACTAGGGTTACAAGAGATGATGTGTTGCGGAGAAAGAACTGAAATCAATAAATCAGAGATTGATGAAAATTTTAGACAACCTTTACGACTTTATTGTCCAATATTATCTGAAAATCTATACAATATGATCGATAACAGTTAGTTTTTTATACTATTACCTAGATATAATCTAGTAAAGACATATGAATATACATCAACCTAAAATTGATTTCCTAACCCAAAAATTTTCAAAATTTGCACGAAATGACAATCTATCACGTATTGAACTAAATAAATCTTGAATACTATTTTCTAGTAAAATTATGCATACTTAACTGGGAGTCGATTGTCGGATTGTAATGTATAGCTTACCATATTACTGTAGTTTGCAGCCCTGAACCGTGGTAGTGTCCATCCCTTGTACAGCGTGGTTACCTCCTCATGCTCGGCATGTTGAACCAACTGCGCCCATCTTTCTGTGTCTTCCATAAATATCTTCTGTAAATAATTCGTCTAAGTGTCTCTTGAGGTACGTAGCGTAGATTCGCTCTGAAGTCTTGGTTCCCAGGGTCAGCGCGGAGACGGACAACCCAAGCTCCTATCGGCTGATTGCGTTGCAACAGGCGAAAGTCGAAGCCTTGTACAGTACTGCGTTAACCTTATGCATGTGTACATAGATCATCTCACGAGTCCAAACTAGTTTGTTTCTTGTATATCTAAACCTTTGTCACAAATCGTCCTTGAGGAAGGTAATCTTGAACCCATTTTTTCTCTTCCTCTCTGCTGCATCTAATCACTTGGCCTTATGGGCATTGAACCCAGTGACCATCGCTGATTGTTCCTACTCAGTACTAACATGTTTGTCATTATAATATCGCTCCAATACGTCAGCCATAGTAAAACATTCTCAAAATCAGGATGTTATCTTCGGTCTATGAGCTGTGCGTCTTGGTGGCAAAATAATTTACACAAAATAGGTTCTATCGCTCCTTCCAACTCACTTAGATCGAATAGACTTCAGTTTCTATGGAGTAAACACGCAACCGCTTTGCTTCTAATCGGGCGGCGGCGATCGATCGATTTCTTGAGATTCTCCCTTTGACGCTATCGCTCGTTCACTAAAACGGTGCATTTGCTCACAAAATAGGTCCTAACGCTCCTTCCAACTCACTTGGATCGAATAGACTTCAGTTTCTATGGAGTAAACACGCAAAGGATTTGCTTCTAATCGGGCGGCGGCGATCGATTGATTTCTTGAGATTCTACTTTGACGCTATCACTCGTTCACTAAATGGATGCATTTGCTCACAACGTCAAGAGAGGACTTTCTCTCTACAAACATTAATTAGATGTAATGTTTTTTTTCTTGTGATTCATTCACTTCAGAAGAAATATAGATCTAATCCCATTTAAACAACTAATCCACTCTTGAAAACTTCCTTATATATATAAGAACTCATCCATCCAAGATGAATTTTCAAAAAATTTGTATATACAAATTCTCATTACACATGAAAATAAGACTTCTTATCACACATTAAAATCGTAATCTGATATCAAAAATCTTCAACTTTCACTTCTGAATGATTTGTATCAATTTTCTGGTTTACCTCAAGAAATCTTTCAGACAAACATTATCCATCAATATTAAATAAATATTTCAATTTTTTTGACTTGAAAATAAATCTACAAAAACCTCCAGTATTCATCAATGAAGCATACATAGTGAAACTTTCCAGAATTTGAATGAGTAAGAGATGGATGTCATATGTAGCTATGCATATATTCAAGAATCTCCTTGAAACCATAAGTTTCAACGAATCAAGCAATTTGATGTTATTTTTCTAGCACACAATGCTTACAAAATTCTAAAGAACTTATTCATAGTGTGGAGATTATGACTTTTTGTGAATTATGTATATGTTATTTTCATTGATTTGAACTAGTCTCAAATGCCACAAGTATTCATTTTCATTTTGAAATCTGACAAACAATGTTATCCTCTAACACAAACATTCTTGTGTCTAATGCCACACAATGACGTTCCTAGCATGACTTGAATCAACCCATAACTTTGTCTGTAGGATATTATTCCTCATCTCAATAATATATTAAACATTTGAATCTTTGTATAATAAATTTTATATATATAAAAGATTACTTAAAATTCACTCATCTTTGTTTTTTGAGATGAGATGCACAAGACATAGTGATAGTAGTACATAGAATTTTTGTCATCACATAGATCATCTTCATCTTTTTCCTAGTTTTTTTTGTAAGATTTGCTAAACTGATTTTACTTGTCATCCGTCAATGCTTTTTCTGAGGTTGCATGCTTTATCACATTTCCAACATAGCACAATCTTTTAATTTTAAGATTTTTTTTCTTAACTTTAATGTTATATCTCCTCTTTTCATATTTTCCTAGCCTCTATTATGAAGATTTTAATATATTACTTGCTTGCTATTTTACTCATTCTATTATAGGATTCATTCTTACAAGATCACTTGTGACCACACTTGAATAAGATCTTTTTGGCTTTCACAAAAAAATATAATTGTTGTTAGATAATTTGTCATGGTTACACTTCATATAGAGCTAACAAGCTCGTTAGACACAATATTATATTTTCGTCACATACTTGAAACTGTCTTTGACAACTCCACATCTTATTTTTCCTAAACACGTGCTTTCTAGTTCTCTGTAAATGTCATACATTATTAACTTCTCACACCGTGTTGGCAAAGTTCAAGGAAGATTAAGAACATGTTTTGTGAATTTCATGTGAGTGAAAATAATTGTTGATTTGAACTTATGATAAATTTTTATTTCTTCATTTTGTAGCTGGCATTTTTTTCTTGCTAGCATAAATTGCTAATATAAATCTTGCTCTTAAAGACACTGAATTATCTCTACCAAAATTCTTGTGTCATATCATTAGTATCATAGTGATCAATGTTTCTCTCACAACGCTCATGAGTAAACATTCATACTTAATAATACAAAAATACTACATAATTTACGACTCTTTACTAACCTTTGTTCATAAAAAACTGCTAATAATTACTGACTATAACTTTACATAGTATATGAATCAATAGCATGTACAGATTACATCTATAACATATTCAAGATATCAATATTTTTTGGATGCAATTTCAACTTGAATCTATCTTTCTTACGTTTGAAATAATCAGTTGTTCAATGTTGTATTTTTAAACAAATATCATCAATCTTCCACATGTGATTTGTTTCAACAATGTTAAGAAATTGATTGCATCAGGAGAAGTGAACTTTACCAAAAACACTACTGGTTATATTACTTTGGTTCAAAACTAGGTTTCTAAAGTAGATTGGCACACCAGATTGTGAATCTTTTACTACATTAATTTTTAAATCTCTTAAAAACAACATTCTGTTGTTGAGTACACAATGCAACAAAATGACAAATGAATTTTCTTTCCAATATCATCCAAAAAGTTAAGAATTACATTCATTATCATTATTCATACGTCATATTTAATCTGTTACAAGTTTGAGTCAAAACTTAAGCTTTTCAACTTCAAAAATTTAAAAAAAAAATTGATTTTTATGTGAAAATAAATTGCACAAAAAAATTAAACAATTGTCAATAAATGATAAGTCTTCTTTGTTTACAAAGACTGAGGTTATTCAACAAAATGAAATTTCTTCAAACTTCAATGTGTACATATGACATAACTTCTTGAATTTGTGAATTTTAAACATTAGAATACTATCTATGATGCTTGTATAGAATACAATCTTCATATGATTCCAGATCAACTTCACCTATAACAGGCTAAAAGTCTTTATTGCAAAATAATGACAATACTATTACTCATATGATCCAATCTACTTTGTCATAAATAAGTTATTTCAAAATCCAATAAAATTCATTTTATAAAAGATGATATTGTCCTCTAGTATATTTAGATTTTAATGCTTTTATCTTTTTAATTTAATTTTATCACCTATTTTCACGTCAAATATTACTTGATTTGATCTCCACTAGAATTTTTTTGAATCTAATTATTCCAAAAAAAAAGTTTTTTTTTCATATAACGTGTGAATATAACATGATTTGATGAACGTTTTACTTCATCAAAGAATTGATAAGATTTGATATCTCTAACTTAATAAATTGATTACTTTTTATAAGGAATTAAACCGTTTGATATCCAAAACATATAAAAGAGCTAGCTGATATAATAAATATCATAAAAGTATTAATGAAATATATAAATAATATAATTTTAAAAATTTGATTTTTGTAAAATCAACATAAATATTGACTAAAATTATTTTTACCATGACTTTGTTTAATCAATTATCATTTTCTAGCTATTAATCTAGACTTAAAAAATACAATAACTCTAGGTTATTTAAAATTTATGATTAAGTATGAATTTTTATCTTTCATAAAATATTAGTATCTAAAAAAAGTATATTTTTCATAAAATTGTATTTTTAGTTACTTCAATTTAATAGATGTATTTCATTGGTTGAAGTAAATGTAAGATTGACTTAATGTCAAGTTGAAGTTCTACAAGTTTCAAGATACTCAGTATAAACTCCAAACCTTGACATGTCTTCATTTTAATGTAGTCATAAGTAAGTTGCATGATATTTTATTATAAGTTCAAATAATTTATCAACAATAGGAATTGAAAATTAGGGAAAAAAAACAAATGATTTTGAAAAGATCTTTGTGTAAAGACTTCTTTCAGCACTAAAACTTTTTGTTTTAATAATCTTCAAATAATCATGTGAGCTTCTATTGAGTATTGAATGAAGAAATTATGTGAAAATACGTTTCTAAG